AAACAAAAAATAAAATAAAAATAGAGAAATAAAAAATAGAATGTGATTATAATGATCGTAATCGTAGTAGTAATAATGATGTGGTAATAACACTAATAAATAAATAGAAAGAGAAGAGAAGAGAAGAAAATAGGTACGATTAACAAATACGGTGTGGCTCTAGGGAAGGCATATTAAGACAGTCAAACCAATTTTTGCTGTTCTGATAATTTCAACAGTAATCTCTTTTTGAATATTGCATGTATATAGTGTTCATCGGCTCCGGCTCGAAGGACCATGTAGAATATTTAAGTCAAGGTATGTGGATGCTGGGCTGTAGGCATGGGGTGAACACTCTGGGTGTGCTGTCAGGCACAGTGAAACACGTTGGGATCCAGGTTTCAGCTCATTTATTACAACAGGTAGTATTGCAGGGGGGGGAATGGTAGCAGTTGTGCTGTTGGTTCATATCTAGACAAAAACACACAACTTGTGTTATTATAAAATGAAATACAATCATCAAATGATAAGCAAACGATAAATCTATGACTGGAACTAAAGGAGTTAACATAATTGTCAGTCATTTTGGCTTAGCATCTTAGCAACATAAATACCACCCGCATAAATGTACAATGCACTGAGAAACTCACATATTATGCAGTTTCACAATGGCTGTCAAAGGGTTAGCTGCTCTGTGGGAAGGCTGCTGCTGCTGCTGCTGGCAGAAGAAAAAGACTCACACCTCATGCCAATTCTCTATATATAGTCTCTGCCCATCCTTGCTCCTCCTACCTCCTGCTCAAACACTTCCTTCTTCCTGCTCATCAGAGTTCCTCCTCGCTCCTGCTCTTCACTACAATAACATTCTTGTGACTAGAAAATCATGTTAAAATCAAGTCGATGTGTTCAAAGTTTCAAAGTGTGCCCCGTTTTCTTTTTCATGTCATTTTGTTTTGTTTTTGTAATGTTTTTTTGTGCTTTGTTGTATTTTACGTAGCCTAGTGTAACATCATGCTAGGAATGAAAAATAGCCTTTTGGTTAATTCTGGCATTTTTTTTTAAACCATGTGCATTTATTAATTTGCACTGTCCCTTCTTAGAAGCAGGGGTCTACCAAATCAGACAGGACCCCAAGTGCAGGCTGTGCAAAGATGCTCCTGAGACAGTTCAGCACATAATAGCAGGGTGTAAGGTGCAGGCAGGAACAGAGTACATGCAATGCCCTAACCAAGTGGCTGGTATAGTGTACAGGAACATCTGCACTGAGTATGGGCTGGAAGTCCCAGGGTCAGAATGGAAGACACCTCTTAAGGTGTTTGTGAATGACTGAGCCAAGATCCTGTGGGACTTTCAGATCCAGACTGACAAACTGGTGATGGTTAACCAACTGGACATTGTGTTGATTGACAAACAGAAGAAGGCAGTAGTGATAGATGTAGCAATCCCAAGCAACGGCAACATCAGGAAGAAGGACCACGAGAAACTCGAAAAATACCAAGGGTTAAAAGAGGAGCTAGAAAAGATGTGGGGAGTAAAAGCTGGATGTGTATATATATATATATGTTGCGAACACTGGGGGAACCCACACCCAGGACACAAACAGTTGGTGGAAAAAATAAGGATTTATTACCACAAAAGGAAAAAACGGTGAATGGTGGGGAGCAGGGTCCAAGGGTTAAGTGAGAAGGGTGAGGGGAATGATGAGCAGGGCTGGCTGGGGAGCATATGGGTGGATGGCTGGCGGGTTGGTTGGAGAATGGAGATGCAGATGAATACTGGTCCTGGAACATACAGAGAATCGGGATTAACAAAAGGCAGAAACAACACAGGGAATCATGAGCAATAAATTGTCTTTCAAAGTCTGGCCTGTGAGAACTACCACGGAGGGTTGAACAACATTCTGGCGATGGGTGGGTGAGAACCAGGGGTAGATATAGACTGGAGGTTGATGAGCTTGATGGAAGGCAGGTGTGTGTACTCAGCCAGGAGCCAGGGAAGGGAAGCCACAAGACACAGACAGACACTGGGGAAAGGGGCAGGGGACACACAGGAGAACACTGGGAAATGCAGTCCAACAGCACACAGCCACAACTATATATATATATATATATATATATATATATTTATTAGAGATGCACAATAATAGCAATAATTAGCATGTCATTGGTATCACCTGATATTGGCTTTAGAATGAACTATCACAATCAACCTACGTGATTTCTCTTATTTTGCACAATGAATGAAATGAATATTACATGAATGAAAAGTATTGTAATTTATGTTTCCATCTTCTGGTGGGCCTTCAAGATAAGAGCATGCATGCATAATATGATTGATGTTAATTCCACTACAGAAGGGACTTGATAATCACTAAAATTAGGTGGGAAAAAAGTGGATATGATAATATCCCTGTTGGTTGTTTCTCAAATGAGTACTAATGATCAACATAGTAGTTAAGTAGGTAGAAGATGAACTGATCTCCAAAAGGTATGGAGTTAATGATGACACATGTTTTTCAATATTTTGAGCAAGATTACTTTTTAACCAGAAGCAAAAGTTTTGGCACCTTGCATGGTCAGTACTAATTAGTGCCTCCATTGGCAAGTATCACAGCTTCTAAATGCTTTCTGTATCCAGTTTAGAGTCTTTCAGTTCTTGTTTGGGGGATATTCACACATTCTTCCTGCAAAAGGCTTCTATTTCTGTGAGATTCGTGGGCCGTCTTACATGCACTGCTCTTTTGAGATCTATCCACAGGTTTTTAATGATGTTTAGGTCAGGGGACTGTGAGGGCCATGGCAAAAACAATAGACAATAGTCTATTGTGAATTTCAAGGTGTTAAGGATCATTGTGTTGTAGAAGCCATCCTCTCCTCATCTTCAGCTTTTTTAGAGGTGGTAGATGTTTACCTCCAGAATTTGCTGGAATTTAACTGAATCAATTCTTCTGATTTGCCTTTCTTGCCAATCAATCCTATGATCAGCTCTCTCAGAAAGTTTTCTTGGTCTTCCAGACCTCAACTTGACCTCCACAGTTTCTGTTAGCTGCCATTACTTAATTACATTCTGAACTGAGGAAACGGTGACCTGAAAACACTTTGCTATCCTCTTATAGCCTTCTCCTGCTTTGTGGGCATCAGTTATTTTGGTTTTCAGAGTGTTAGGCAGCTGTTTAGATGAGCCCATGGCTGCTAATTGCTCATCACCTGGCCTTTCCTAACAATGATTGTGAATAAGCTTACCGGTAAAAGTTGTTTTAGAATTTCTTGGGGTACCCAAACATTTGCATGGTGCCCCTTACATTTGTAATCCACTGATCTTGCTTAAACTGTTTTAAAAAGTCATGTTTTATCTTTAACTTTATGCCTTTAGAGATCAGTTTATCTTCTACTTACTTTGGCTTTCCATTCACAGGAAACAAAATTTTGACTAGGGTTGCCTAAACTTTTGCATGTCATTGTATATATGCATATCATTAACTCTGTCTCCTTTGTGCTATCTTCTCCAGCTGCTGTGGATTACCTGGCAAAAAACGTCAGCCTTTCCAGTCAGCGCAGGATGAAGCTGGCCGACCACTCAGCTGTACTGGGACTGCTGCAGGTTGAGACTGGCCAGGCCTACTAGTACCCACTTAACATGCACACCTAGTCACCAGCACAACCCACCTCCTGCTACCATCCATACAAATCTCCCAGAGACCGTGTGTGTGTGTGTGTGTGTGTGTGTGTGTGTGTGTGTCATAGATTGACTATACAGTACACTGGGGTGTTATTTAGCTTTTTTTTAATCTCATGTACGTGTTTCCTCCAGGGTTTAAGGATTGAATGATGCAGCTGCCGAAGCTTTATACATTCCCATGGGACCAACCAAATCCACCACATCAGTTTCCACTGTTAAGAATATAGTTCTTCATTTGTTGTTTGTCATATTGCACTACATTTTGTACACAATATTGATGGAATCTAACTTAACAGGATAATTATAGTTAACTCGTGATATAAACAATTAGGCCTACTATGTAAACCAATCACTTTAGACTGGATGTAACCTTTGACCTGCTATTTAAAATATATATATATATTTAAAAACAAGGTCTTCAAACAAACAAAACAAACTAAATTATACATTGTAGTCATACTGTAATGATGCATCCATTCTTAATGCCAAGCATACCTCAAGTTGTGAAGTGTCAACACCCTTAGTGTTCTGTCTGAACACACCTTATGGTTTATTTAGCCTTTTAAAATTTCATGTAATTGTTTCCTCCAGGATTTAAGTACCCCTGTTCCCCCTGTTACTCTGCTAAGTCACCTATGACCATTTGTATTGAGTTTCATTCACTGATGAATTTTTCTGGCTGTGTTGTCAAACTAGGGAGTGCTATACTGGGTCAAAAAAACTACATGTTGCTAATTAAAGAAACAAAAAAAAAATAAAAAATAAATCAGGTGCCCTCCAAGGATAGGGCAAGTAGGCGAATAAGGATAAAAGACAATGCCTTTCCAGCTTACTTATTGTAGAAGTCCATGGTATAGGTTGGCGGTCTGAAAAAAATCCAAGGCACTCTTCTGACTGTAAATAAAAATCCTTTATCAATAAATTGATGACCAATGCGTTCATACTTAAACAGACTTCATCAGGGTATAAAATGTACTGGGGTCAGGAGGGGGGAATAATGATGGTACTAGCATCTTATAAAACTGTATTATTGTTTTTGGATAAGTTTTGGATAAGTGTTAACAGTATTTTTACAATGAACCTCCCTCTCAGTATCCGATATTATATGTTATTACAATAATATGTTATTATAGCTTTGGACAAGTATTATTGAGGGTGACCCCTTATCAGCCCTTTTATACACCCTCCTCTCAATATTCAAGTCAAGTCAAGAAGTCAGGTAGTACTTAATTTGCCCCAGAGGGGCAATTAGTTTTATAGTAGTGACAAAAGTAGGGATGCACGATAATTTCAGCACATTATCGGTATCGGCCAATATTATCCTTAAAATGAATCAGAATCAGCCAACATGCTTTTTCTTATTTTGTACAATAAATGAATATGACATACATTGAAAAGCATACTATTTCGTGTCTCCATCTGCGGGTGGGCCATTATGATAAACGTATGCATGCATAATACAATGTTATTTCTACTATGGATGACAATGATCACTAAAATTAGTTGGGAAAAAAAGTGAGTATATCAATATCATTATTGGTGATTGGCCAAGTTAGTTGTGTTATATTGGTGTAGCCGTATTGCTACATGTGTGAGTTCCCCCAGTATAGATATACAGATTTGCAGATGAGTTTTCAGTCTTTTATTCCACCAACAACACAGGCAGAGGTGTCCTTCCAGTGGAAAGCAGACAGACGACTGCTCAGGACCAGCACACTACTGCATAAAAAGGGGAGAAAGAGCAGTCATAATCATTAGCAGCAGCTGTTCCAATCAACTCATCTGCCACTACTCTCCTGAGCCATCCCCCCACACCTGTCTCTCTCTCTCTCCTGCAGCTGACTGTTAACCACATACCCTCCACAATCGGCATATCGGATGTCAGCAAAAAATCCAATATCATGCATGCCTAATTAGGGGTGCAAACCAACATAATTTGGGCTTTTGTTTTTTGTACAAAACGGGAATTACAGTCTGGCTGAAATGGGCTTGTTACAGTCTGGGTAAAGCAAAATCATCATTATTTCTAAACACATTATACATATAAGAAAATATTTCTCATGAACACATGAAAAGACAGAGAACTGTGTAGTACTGGATTGTGGAGTTAGACTGTTTTTCAGCATTTCTGTGTCCTACTGGATAAAATCTACGTTACCACTGTCATTAGAGCTCATAGCATCAGTATAATTTCTTTTGTCCATTCTGTGTCAGTGGTGAGTTTGCTAAGTCCCACGAACTCTCTGAGCTCTTTCAGTCTAAAAATCTCTGTTCAATGCCACAGTCATATAAACACAAGCTAAACAGCCGTCACTAATGAACCTTTCAGTCTTGATGATTGAAACAGCTATCCGGCTCACCGACATTTACTGCTCACTGCAGTGGATGTGTACTTTGTGCTAACCTTAACGCTAACTGAATGAGTGGCTACAGCTGCACAGTGGCTTTTGTTCCCTGGTTCAGAGGGTGTGTGTGCTGTGACTGTGCGTGCTACTGGCTTAGCTGCCAGAGAGTCTTTGACCGTGCAGCAGCTCATTCTTCTGCTAGTGGTTGTGCATGTTACTGTGCTACTGGGTTAACTGCTAAGGAGAGTCTGTAGCTGTGTGGTGGCTCTTTGCCTGAGTGTGTTTTTATTCACCACTCTCTCTCTCCATCGTCCTCATAATTAACAGTGAAACTGAAGTGGCTCCAAACACTAGACCTGTAGTTTATTAGAAGATCTTCTATTTCTGGTCTAGTAATTATGTTACCGACCATCTTAAAATGAGCTAGCTTGGTGTAGCTGTCTTCCAGTGTGTCTCACTGGAATAGAATGTTCTGGTTTGGGGGTGGTAGGGGCAGACAGCATGTTGCCTGTTCCATCCTGTGGACTGCCTTATTGATCACAGTGGCACTAAGGACATAAAGCTGAAAACACACAGATGCTGCCCTGGCACAGTGTACCATGTGGCGGTGCATCAAGTGCCCCTAGCACACACTCGACACGATGCAACAATACCAGCAATCCCAGAGAGAGGGGATATATGCTGAGAATGTGAGACCTATGGATATGGAAACCCACAATCAAGACTTACTAAAAAACATCTGGTAGCACAATGTTCCAACATCCGTAACCACCAACTACTATCACAACTAGAGATTAATGGAATACTACAACAACGCTACTGCAAGGGGGAGCTAGGACGGCAGGTCAGCAGGGGGATGTCATTACGCTCCCCACAATGCGAGATTGGGTACCAAGCCTCAGTAGATACAACTAGCCTCACTGAAAGAGCAGCTGACCTGAGAAGGAAGATTGTGAGCAAACTGGAAACCTGGAGCCTCCGAAGAATCCTGAAGCTGAGTTGCCATGTACCTTCAGATGATCTGCTAGAAGATGTGAATGCTGCCCTAAATACCATGCCTACAAGGACCATCACTGAGACCAACAAGCTGATTCACAGTACAGCAACAGTAATCCTGGAGATGCTTGGATACAAGATGGACATGGTACATACGAACCAGTATCCTCCATGGAAGAGACGGTTAGAGGCCAAGATAAAGGCAACACAGAGACAAGTTAACCAACTAGCAGAGCTACACAGGGGTAACATGGTGAATAAAGGATTACCAAGGAAGTACAATAAGCTCCCCATTCCAGAGGCACTCAAAACTGCCAAACAAAGACTAACTGCTCCTGCCACCCGGCTGAAGAGATACACCAGAGAAGTAGAGGCCAGGAGAATAAACAGGATATTGTTGCCAAGGTGTTCTCTCAATGGCAGGGAAATAACTGCAGGTCAGACCCACCAAAAGCTGAGATGGAAACATACTGGAAGGGCATATGGGAAAGAGAAGCATCTCACAACACCAATGCCCAAATGGCTAGTTGACCTAGGAGCTGGCCACAGCAATCTCCCTGAACAAGAACCAGTAACCATCTCAATGGCAGACATCCAGGAAAGCGTGTCAAAGATGAAGAGCTGGACAGCACCGGACCCTGATATGATCCATACATACTGGCTGAAGAAGCTAACTGCACTCCATGAACACCTGGTAGCACAGATGAGCCAGCTGGCTGACACAGGGCAGGACAGTCCTGATCATGAAAGACCCCCAGAAGGGAACCATTCCATCCAATTACAGACCGATAACCTGTCTCTCCACAATATGGAAACCCCTGTCAGGCATCATAGCAGCCAAGATAACTAGGCATATGAGCAATACATGAGCGAGGCACAAAAAGGAATTGGCAGTAACACCAGAGGAGCCAAGCACCAGCTACTGGCTGACAGAGCAATCGCCCGAGACTGCAAGAGCAGGAAGACCAACCTGTGCAACGCCTGGATGACTACATGAAAGTCTACAACTCAATGCCACACACGGATACTGGAATGTCTGGAACTATACAAGATCAACAGGACACTAATGGCCTTCATTAAGAACTCCATGGAAATGTGGAAGACAACCCTAGAGGCCAACTTAAAGCCAACTGCCTAAGTCAACATCAAATGCGGCATATACCAAGGGGGTGCACTGTCACCACTGCTGTTCTGCATAGGCCTGAGTCCCCTCAGTCAGATCATCAAGAAGACTGGCTACGGATACCAATTCCGAAATGGGGTAACAATCAGCCACCTGCTCTACATTGATGACATCAAGCTGTATGCCAAGAATGAGCGAGACATCAACTCACTGATCCACACCACCAGGATCTACAGCAAGGACATAGGGATGTCATT